ACCACCGAACCAACACTTTGAACCACCGAACCAACACTTTGAACCACTGAGGAGTTCCAGCTTCATTTGTTTTAAATCGACTGAGCTGCTGAGAGAACTCTACACTCGGACTCATGCGACCTCGCAGCAGCGGTTGGTGTGACGACCCGTCGGGCGTTTTATATGGAAAATATGGCGTCTTTGTTAACTAAATTTGTCGCCATGGTAACTCGAAACACCAATAAAGTAACAGCACACATCGCGGTGCTGAGCCGGTCGTTCTGATATCTGTTGGAGACACGTTGCGGCTCGGGCCACATTAAAGCTGACGGAAGAGTAAGATAAAATAAATAAAGTTAAGAAACCCTTTAGGTGGATAATAAAAGGTGCTGCAGTCTGTCAGTCCCCAACTTTTATAAATGTGTTTAAAGTTGGACTTTAAGGAGTTTTTGCTCATTTCATGAATCAAGTGCTGAGTTACGGTTAAAAGTGGATTCTTGCGTGTGTTACCTGCTGGTCTTCAGCAGAAAGTGACTGCAGGAGATGAACTTTGTCCTCTATCAGCTGCCGTAGTTTCTCAGCAGAAACAGGAAGTCCCTCGTGTCTCTGGACCTCTGGAGGCTTGACAGACAGACGGGGGAGAACGTTTTATTCACCGTCCGTCAGAATAAAACCCACGTTTCACGACCGGCGATGACTCGAGTCTGACGCTTCCAAACGGGAAAATCCAAACCTCAGACTGCGCAAAAGTCTTCAGGCGTCCCTTACATTTTAAGTTCTGGTTCTGATCAGCAGATCTTTGTTTTCAGCCTGAGGATCTGTGGAGGACTACGAGCACTTAATATCTTACCTGTTGCAGATGGAAATTTTAATGACCTCACTTTGAAGAAATGGAGTTAAATTCAAACCAAACTACAACTGCAAATGTTTCATAGTGCTTCTTTTGAAAAAAGTTGACACATTAACTATTTCAACAGGAAGTGTTTCCGGCTGCACAGGAAGTGCCACAGCCATCAGCTGCTACTACTTCCACTTGCAAAAATTGTTTTACTTTGTTAGCAACAATGAATGGAAAATAATTTGAATAAATTTACACCAAATTTAACTATTTCTCTGAACTGAGGAGTCAAAAGCCACCTACTGCAGGTAAGATACTGTTTGTTCATACATTTCCACAAACGTTTCAGAGGCCAGATAGCTTTAGATTTGTATCAGCAGCTGTGACATTTCTGTCCCTGTTAGCAAAATAACTTGCTTTTAGTCCGCATATGAAAACGCTTGAAGCGTCTGATTCAGAGAGACATCGTCAACACGTCCGCGTCTCGTTTAACAAACTTTCTTTTTCTCGAGCGCGTCCCGGGAGCTTCAATGAGACATAAAAACTAGAGACGGCCATCGTCCCCTCCGCCAGCGGACATGTTGTCTTCAGAGCGTGCGCGCGTTGAAGCAGACGACAGACACGACTTCCGATCCAACACAATTCAAACAACAACATTCGGTCTCTGCTAAAACTAAAACAAGACGACGGGGCTTCAGAGAGCAGAAACTATTTCCTGTACGCTGACAATGAGATAAAACAAAGAATTACATTAAGTCGTGTTAAACGATCAGCTAAAGTTCTTTGTTTTAAGGTAATTATGAAGTAAAACGCCTGATGAATGAGAGACGCTATAATTCTCTCCTCATTACTCTCTAACCCCGTCTCCGACAAACGACGCTTATATAACGCTAATTTGTTTTCCTAATTATGTTTCCTAGCAAAACATAATTGGCGAAACAAATGAGTGCTATAGAAATGTAATTTCTAAGAGACGGGCTCTTCTGTCAACATAACCTCACATTGTTTATGCTTTTAAATAAAATTATATGATGACTGCATCATCAGGATTATAAACACGTCTAACCTCCTAAAAATGTAAAAGACACGACTCAGAGACGACTGTTCGCTTCAGAACAACTGGATGAGTCATTGTTCGGTCTAAAACCAGGCTAATGGTGCGTTAGCTAACATTTTAGAGTTTGGCCTTAAAGACAGAAGTTAGGCAAATATTTACTTAAAACAAACAGTTTAAAGGACTTAAAGGGGTAGAAAACTTAAAAATAAGTATAAAAATATACAAAAATCAGCAGAAACCCAAATTTTACAGACGGCTCCAGAAGTAAAGCTTAGCCTGAAGCTAACAAAACATTAGCTCGTCATTTTAGGGTTTTGGGTTAAAAAGAAGGATTTTTGTCTAATATTTAACCAAAAACACATTTTAAAAGGAAACAATATACTATACAGAGTGTGGTGTTGAAAAATGAGGAGGCTCAGGCTATTTTCCATGTGACTTTAATGCTTTAATGTGATCACACAAAACTGAAACTGAAACCTGCACAACAGGAATGTTGGGACTGTACCAACTCTGACAACTCATGGGGGGGGGGGGGGGGATACACTACAGTATGTTAGGACTGTACCAACTCTGACAACTCATGGGGTGGGGGATAAACCACACAGAGTATGTTAGGACTGTTCCAACTCTGACAACTCATGGGGGGGAATACACTACAGTATGTTAGGACTGTTCCAACTCTAACAACTCATGGGGGGGATACATTACACAGAGTATGCTAGGACTGTACCAACTCTGCCAACTCATGGGGTGGGAGATAAACCACACAGAGTATGTTAGGACTGCACCAACTCTAACAACTCATGGGGGGGATACATTACA